AGCGAATGTATTCTGTACATACTGAACTTCTCTTTTATGCACTGTCTTCTATTCCAAAGTCTGTGAGCTGTTCGGAAGGTATATGAAGAGATGTAGTAACAAAAATCAGTCCCTTTTTTTTGTGATTGGCTGGAGTGACCAGAAATTCATCAGGCATGTTCAGTTGTACTTCTGGCATTAAGATATTTTCTGTGGTATGGAATTCCTTCTGCTTTTGCTCCAGCTGATGTATTGCCATGTCTTAATTAACTAAACACCCCATTCTGTGACCCATCACTTTGCATCACCAAATAAGCAGAATAAGGTGCAGTTCAGAGAGTGGGGAGCTTGTATACTTCAGTTCCACGTAAATCTGGATATTCTGGTCAACAAGCAGGGAACTGAATGTGTTTTCAGCCGTAATAACATGCAACGATCTCTTCTGGACTTTGAAACCTTCAAGCACAGGGAGAAGTCACATATGTGCTATTCACTGGCTTTTACCTAGCCCAGACAAAGTGCTGCTGTCCACCCAAGTGTTGTCTCATCAGATGAAATTATATACGTTGTCACATGTCGGCGTGTTTGTGAATGTGCTCCCGAAAGAATTTCTAGTCTTCATAAAATGGTCCCCTCTAGCAGTCTTTGCTTTGATAAGGATTTCACGTGGCAGGTGATGAGTGAAGTTCATCTTTCTGTTTGCAAAGCTGATGCAAATGCCCAGGAGGCCAGCCCACCTCTCCTGTCCAGAGAAGAAGTTGCCATTTCATTTTACATGACTTGCATTGAGGAAGGGCAGCAGCCGCCGAGGGAGAAGCAGGATGACTAAGCTCACAACAGATTAAAGGGTGTGACTTTGGGATCAAAGCCAGCAGACTACCTGATAAAGCAGCTCCTAGTACTGCACTACCAGTAAAAAACTTCCTTAGATGGATCCATACAAGTTGCACTGGAGAAACCAAACAAACTGTGGAGCTGCTACACTGATTTTAAGTTTGTATTTGGAAACAAACTAGTAAAGTTTTCATTGCTCCAATGTCAATGCTAGTGGTGGGCCAAACTCTGCCAGGATAGTGTAGCTCTGTTGATTATATTAATGAAATTGTATCAATGTGA